GGAAACATGTCGGTCTAGAAATTTTCACTTAAAATACAGGCCGATTCAGAATTGATTTATTTTCGGGTGTACGATCACGTAACGAAAGCAGAGTGCAATAGCTAAAATAAGAAAAGTAATTCGAAGTAATGATTCAAATAGCAGAAAATAGCTAAAGGCTCATTCAAAGATTAATAAACAATAAGAGAGATCGAATTTCGAGAAATTTGATCGAATTAAGGTACAAGCAGTGATGTGAAAGAGAGCCCATGATTTAAAGACCTTCTTTGATAATCTGTTCTAAAATTAAGGAGACGTAAATCTATGACGCGTATATGAAAGTGACAGGATAGCATTCCGCTAAATTTGATATTTAAATACTTGGGAAATAATGCATTCTTCTTCAATCGAATACCCTCAACTTATCATAGAGATTCGTCTGGCCGTTGACCAAAACGGCTGATTTATTAAAGCAGGGTTGACGATCTCGCGTACTCGAATCGTCCGTTTGTCACGCGGCCAATTTCCCCGTGAGCCGGGATACGGTTCCATTTAGTTCCTCTTAGAGCCACCTTCATCCTTGTTGCTTAGCAAATGTTAAACAAGGACGAGCGACGCTCGCGCGCGTAACGAGCGCCAAATGGAACGGTATCCCTCGGTTGCCAGGGACGTGTCCCGAATCTCACGAGCGGCGCGGTCGGCGACGGGGGCGATCTTAAGAATGAGAACATAATCCGCGGCGCGGAGGAGCGATATACCGCGGCGCGGAGTACTCGCGCCGACACGGAAGTAATCCGATAATCCCATCAGACGAGCTTCCATAAAATCGTTAATCGCCGGTACGCCGTGCCGCCGGCCCGGACCGGCTGCGCGCCGCGCTGTAATCCCAGTTCGGTATTCACATCGGTTTCGAAGCCGCATCCGCACTGCGGCGAAATCAACCGCGCACGCGAGATGCCCGCGTCTTATGGCCGTTCGGGAGATTGTTGCAACGAATGGGTTTTCGCCGAGCGGTGCTTCGGACGAAAATACTGCCGTTATGAACAACTCCTCGGGCTTGTTCCGAACGCGGCTATCCGCCTAAAAGCCGTAGTTCAACAACTCTGTCCCCTGAGTTGCGCGGTAGTCGACGCTTCCCGAAAATGAACGTCGACGCTGCCTCGCGAATTTTCCATTATTTCAACTTCGGGGAACGAAGGGCACGATCGTTCCCGCAAATCCGAGTTTAACGGTTTCTTCCAAAGAAGACAGGAGGGGCGAGGGCTTTGATTAGATTTGATTTCGACTTATTACGCGAAATCTCCACTCGCATCTCGACCGCGGCGTATATTTTATACTAATGTAATTTCCGCTGTAATGGAACGAGAATCGAGAGCGAACAGCGTGTTCAAATAAAGCGCGGATTCTCTCCCGGGAGGGGACGGTCCGTTTGCAATTTTCTGCCGGTGGTTGTCTAATCTATCGAAAACAACAACGAGCGAGGAGAATGTTTCTGTTTCTCATTAGCGACTCCATTAGCGGAATGCTCGCGCACGATATTAGGGCGCAATGTAAATTGGCAGGATTAAATGCATCGGACGATTGCATCAATCTCATTAAATGCCGCGCATAATGTTTGGCGAGAGAGGGGGAAGGGGAGGGAGAGGGCGAGTCGAGCGGAGGTGGTCGGGGTTAGTAACGATGTTTGGGGATGCTCTGATAATTATTGAATCCCTCGACGTTGTTTGCGTCAGGCAAATCGAAAATAATAGAATATTCGAGCGTTTGCCCAGCCACGTTCTCGCATCTTCCCCGCTCTCGAAACGCGCTCGTTTTTACCGTGAAACATTCTACGCGTTTCGCGACGTTTACGTGAAACTCGTCAAGTTTTCCCCTCACGGGGGAATCAACTTGCGATCGACGGCTCGCATATTTCGTTCGTTATTAAAGTATCCCCCTCCCGAGTCGAAATTTTGGCCCTATGTCGAACCTTTAATTCTATTATATAGTAGGACCTAAGACAGTAAAAGAGGTTGAACAGCAAGTACAAAATTTAGTTTAAAACCTACTTTAAAACTGATAGAGTCGAAAATTTCTACTTTTGCCAACTTAGCATTAAAGTAGGCCCTTTTGAGTAGAAGCTAAAGTAAATTTTTAGAATTATATGTATAGTAGGACCTAAGACAGTAAAAGAAGTTCAACTGCAAGTACAAAATTTACTCCTACTTTAAAAACTGATAGTGTCGGAAATTTCTACTTTTGCCAATTTAGCATTAAAGTAGGCCCTTTTGAGTAGAAGCTAAAGTAAATTTTTAGAGTCAAAGATTCAAGGGAGGAGTATATATATGTCATCAAAGTAGGTTATTACTGATAGGTAGTCTATGTAGGTGTATGGATCAGCTAAGTAGGTGTAAATTGTCCTTAAAAGTGTCAAAACAGTATCCAAATTTCGACTCGGGCGCTGCGCAATGATAGTACCGACGATGAAACCGACAATTCTTCAGAATAATAAGCGCGACTCGAGGAGACGAGTCGTTCCAAAATGACGCTTTCGAATGCAAATCGCGAGGGGAAGCCAGGAAGCGAGGAACGCGCGCGCGCGTAGCAATGTTCGAATAACCATTTTCATTCTTTAATACCGTCCGTTCCGCTCCTCTCTTTGCCATCAGCTTTGCTTAATCTGATTATTGCATGCATTCCATAGCTTCGCGTATATATAGCGGGGATCATGAAAGCAAACAGGAATGTATAGGAGCAAAATATATATATGCGATCGAAATATGCGCTTCGTCTGGCGACGCGGGTGGGAGAATTTAAAAAATAAATCGCGGACTCGCGGAATTTGAATGATTTCAGGTGTGATGAGAATCATTCGCGTTCTAACGACCGCTCTAAATGAAGATAAACATTTGTTCTTCCGCTGACCGCGTAATAGCGAACAGCAAACAACTGATATTCCGACTGACGACACAGTTACACACGAAAGAGTGTTAGCTCTAAAAATTTCAACACGGGGGGGGGGCTTGTCGAATGGTTCTCGAATCGTGCGGATCTGCCGTACAGAATTTTACGCAGTTCATTAGATCGAAGAATTAGCGATCTAATTCGCTGTTTAAGCTCGCGAGAATTAACATGAGAGAAAGCCGAGAAAGGATGCATTGGACGGATCGTCTCTTCCGAAAGTTAATCCAGTACAGCAGAAAGTTAAGATTGAACAGAGCCCGAATTCCTCGTCAACTCATTATAAGAAATTAACGAAATCGTGGTTTGAAGTATTATTTATTGCGAATAAGATTGGAATTTGATGAAAAATGCAGAGTTTTTGCCTTAAAAGGTGAAGTCGGCATGCGACGTTGTAAATGTGCAAGCTAATCATTTTAAAACTTGGTGGGAACAGTTCTACACGCTTGAAATACACGGTGAAGAAATCGAATTTTTTTGTTTTTAATAGCTGTGGAATGATTTATTATTTGTCCCTCGAGAGTTCCCGTAAGACCCTGTTAAAATAGCAATATTCAATAATTAATAACTTCCAAACGAGCAAGTGAAACAATTGGAAATAATTCGCCACGATCTGAATTTCACGGCGATAATCTTGGCGTATCCATCCAATACATCCTTCGATTATTTTTTTTTTCCTAGGAAAGGACAGAGTAAATTACTATCGAGCTCGTTCTCTCCTCTTATTTTCTCGCCGACGTTCGCCACGCTCCGTCGACGCGGGACCTTCGGCTATCGCGGAAGTCGCGTCGTCGTTAGACGCGTGATTGACGCTCGTGCCTCGTCAGGGATTGTACACACGTGGCGCGTGACCGCGGGGCACCTGGATCAGACCTGATTGCTGTTCACAATGAGCTTATTATCCCTAAGAAGCTAGAGAAATCTTAACGGCTAGAGACCCGATATTAACACTACTTCTTCATATACGCCTATATATATGTATGCGCTGCGCTCGTAGGTACAGTATGGCTCCTAATGTGATAACCGCTAAGTGTCCTAAGTAGCCTAAGTCCTACCTGGTTGGTGAAAAAATGAGAATGCACCGCTCGCTCGTGGCACGAGTCCGCGGCCACTCGCAGCTGTTGTGCGCGTACCGACAATAATCACTGACATAGTAAGAATAGACTGCGCGTTCCCTATCTCACCCGTGTGAAAGCTGTACAAATTTTAGAACGAGATACCTGGTGCGGGGTCGTACCTTATCTCTGGCTGCGTTCAGCAGAAAGAGCCGCTTTGCAACTGTTGTAAAATTCGTGAGTCTGATTGGCGTATTCTTTTAATGTTGAGTGAATTTAAGAGCACACGCCAATCAGATTCACGAATTTTACACCGGTTGCAAAGCAGCTTTTTCTGCTGAACGTAGCCTTTGTCTAGTAGAAGTAATGGGGGTAACAGAAGAGTAGAGGAATTATTAAAGGATGAACACAGCTGTCTCTTTCTAAAGTTCGTACACGTCTGCAGCCGAAACGCGCAGTCTACATATTATACGTCTATGACAATAATACAAATCTCCCACGGTGTACCACTCGCCGAGAGGTCAACGAAGATCGATCGGCCCCTCTCTTCTGAGAACCCTGAAACGGAGACACTGCCGCCCGATCAAGTGCGTTGTCCGAGAGGATCCTTGAGTAGGCGTGAAATAACATGCGATGCTCAACGATCGTGACGATCGGCTAAGGCGGAGGTTTGGGGAGTGGAACGCAAGGTAAGGCGAGTCGACGAGATTCCTCGCGAGCGACGAGTTGATCGCGGGCGTCGCGAGCAATTTCGATCGGGATCGACGGGAGTGGGGAACGAAATAATTGGACGCGGATGTGAGCGAAAACCGGCTCGATGAGATTTTCATCGCACCCGTTGAGTCTCGCTTCCTCTCAAGAATCGATCTCGCCGACGTCGTTGATTGATTAAACCAAAAGTCCGACGGAAAATTCTTAATGGCGTAGAAATTACGTACGACGCGATTGAAAAAGTGCTAAAATAGCAATTGGCTTTTTCCTATGATTCATTCTTTTTCATGTCCCCCCCCCCCCTCCCTCGTTCATTCCAATTTCTTTCATTCTCGCACACATACACGCCTCGGTTCTCGCTCACGCGCACTCACTCTTTCTCTCCGTTGTCCCTAACTCCCCCCCTTTGTTTGTCTCTTCCTTCTACAACTCTCGTCACTCGATTACAGCTTAATTATTACAAAGGTGGTTGTACAATAATATATATAATATAGACTCTGTATTAGTTACAATAATATCGTAGCGTCCTACACCCTTCCGTCTGGCCTTCCTGCGTCGTCATTAAATCGCGAGGATCGAAACCGATTGGGTTCCTCCTTCGAGTTAACGCCTTCACGCTCGATTCCACTAAGCGCAACATTCTCCTCGTTATCACCGTTCCCTCGAACGTACTGTTGCCACGTAAACGTATGTGTCTGCGCGCGCGCGTGTATGTGTGTGTGTGTGTGTGTGTAACGTTTTGTATACATGTTTCGTGTATCTTTATTGCTTATTGCTTAACATTAACGTTCGCGCCGAGCGGGTCACCACCGAAGAGGTATCGTCATCCGCGGGCATCCCATCGTTAATTAAGCTAATCGATTGCTCACCGGGAGACAAAGACCTCGGCGCCGCCACCGCACGTTTAACGTTAAAGGCAGTTCTCCCCCGACTCGACGGTGACATCGCACGCGATCTTTATCCTCGACGAATAAAAACTTAGGATCAGGCGGGGGCTGCACTTGCGTCGCGTCTAACGAGATGCTAATGAAGCGAAAATATAGATCAAAGGATCACCCGTCTGCCTCCCGCGCGGGAGAGGGACGCGTCGCGTCGCGCGATTTCCTCGGCGGCCCCTCTCGACGCATGAATAAAGAAAAATGTGGTGAGCCGTGCGAGCCCCGAGGAAGAGAAGAACGTACCACGGTGACGTCCAGAACGGAGCCCTCCCGCCCCCAGCCGCGTTTAATAATTTCTTGACCTTCTTTAATCCTCGACCGGGCCGGGGAAAAATAATACCGCGCGTTTGTTCTTATCGGCTGAGGGGACTCCTGCACGCTAATCAAGAGTCTCGTTTGTCGCTCGGCTCCTTCGCTCGGCCGGGCTCGTCCCGGGTGGACGAGCGACTCACCCCGCGATCCATTTCCCTTCATCCTTGGCGCGCGTCGCTGCCGGACAAACGGGGATCCGCCTCGGTCGTCGTCGGAAAAACCGACGGCGCGTTATTACTTGTAATTAATCGATATTATTATTACGCGTATCATCGGATTACTCGGTACTTCTTTGAGGGTACATGCCCGGGAATGAGCAAAGAAATGAGCGTGCGCGCCCGGCGATGAAAATATTTACCGAGTAAATGCTTCTTCATCTCTGTCTCCCTTCGCACTTATCGAGGATGCAGTCCCTTCGTAGTAGCCGTCCGTTTCCTGTCCGCTGTAAAAACTAGCGATCTTAGCGCGTCCCGTCGACTTGGAACGAGAGGACGCGCCGGGAACGATCGATCCTACGAGGGCGAGTCGCGGCCCTTCGTCCTCGACCGAGGTCCGCGTCGTGTCGCCGCGATACCGATCGTGATATGGCCTAACCATGAAAGTCGCCCAACAAACCTCGCCAGCTCCGCCCGACCGCAATCTTAGTGCCTAACGTCCGGTAAAAAAAAATCTACTGGCCAGGGAAAACTCACGCTCTCCCGATCGTCTCCGATCGCGCGTCGCGCCGCCGATGTCCGCTCGATCCTCCCACGAGATCGTCGCGAAAATCCAACGAGCACTTTCTTTCTTTTTCTTTCTCGCCCCCGGATCTTCCATCTTCGGTTCTTCGCGAGATGAACGCGAGTTTTTCCTGACAGTTCGTAACGGGAGCTACGCGTACACGATTGTCTAAACCGTTGTCGATAAGCTCCTCTCTTTCCCGCGTCTCCTCTCATTCACGGTCTGCATTCATCTGCAACTTTACGCGCGCGCTCGATCGTTCGAGCCACTCTGTGTCGCGGGTAGTTTTTTTTTATGACGATCTCACTGAGTGTCCGACGCCGCGTTCGAGTCCGACCTTCAATTGTTTTCGAATAATCGTCGCGCTTTCGATTAGAATCACCTGAATATCGCGGCGACCGCCGTCAGCAGAACGATCGTCAGGTACGTCGATCGGCCGATCTGTCCGCCGTTCGCTTCCATGCACTGGCCTGCAACGATAGAAATAACCAATTTTTACAATGTACACATTCCTGCAACGTGTCTTCGCCCGCATGCACTCGCATGCGAGATAGAAGCGACACGTATTCAACCTCTTATTGTTAGCCATTGCAGCATTTGTCTCGTTCGAGTTTGCCGACCGTAACATCCATTTCTCGTATACGGGAAAAGTATTGTTACAAGTACGTGCTAAATATTTCCCTCGAAAATATACGTACTGAATGTATAAAGTTGCATTGTAGCTCCGCCGCGTAAAATCAATCTCGGAATCTAGATTTTCGAGTCTACACACGGAGAGACCGATATGGTTACCGCATGTCTAATTAGAATTGGCACAACCCCGAAAAATAGTAATATTTAGGACAGCTACATCTGTGTGGACCGAATTCTTGAATTGGACTGAACTCGAGGCCGCGGGTGAAACGAATGTCGTAATTAATGCCAGGACAGTGTATGTTTAACAGTAACGTATTTAACGGTTGTTTCGCGCCTACGAGATAGCCTTAGGTCTAGTGACGCATAACTCAGCGTTTATCAACGCGCTGTCGCAGTCTATTTGTCACAGAGAGCTACGCGAATGTCGCGCCAGATTACGCGTGGCTGTCACGCACCCTCCGCGACGAGATTTCGAGCGGGGCGCAATGGATGACAATCGCTGACTCTGCGATTTCGATTGGATGGCACAGCCTTCACGTCACGGGCAAGTTATTGGAGTACACTGAGCGTTTTGCGAAAAGACGGAGAATCTCGTCGCGTTTTCCCCCCCGGTCGGGGGCGTAGCCGCGACGAGTTCGCCAGATCCCGGTGACATCAGAAAATATATATTTATGTGAAATTTACATTTGCTGTTTAATAGAAACATTAAGGAACTTATTGTTATATTTCACGTTTGATGCAGAAAAAAAATGAGATAAAAACTTATTGAACGGCCAATGTTAGCTTTAAAAATAAATAATTTTATTTTCCAATCGATTTACTGATATTAATACACTCAGCCGCAAAAGAGCGGTATACTAAAAATTTGGGAGAAATGCACCAAAATTCAAGTGACCACAATTTGGTAAATAATGGAGATAAAAATAAATACAAAAATGGAAAATTAAATTATGCTCGGCCATTTTTTTCAAAATGGCGAGTGATAAAGTGAGAGGATGCAAAATTGATACCAAGTTACGATCGCTTGAAATCTGGTACATTTCTCCCAAATTTTTAGTGTATCGCTTTTTTTGCGACTGAGTGTACAAAGAATGGGATTCCGACGGGGCCTCTTAAAATAAATGTTGCGTTGCTCTTGTAATTAAATTTCAAACGCTTTTAGTATTTCGCTGACAATGTTTAACGAGGTATCGACGAATTTAAGAATTTAATTATCGTATGTTTTCAACGTAACATATCGGACTACGTTCCGCGCACTCGGATCCAGTGTTCTCGGATTAACGCTAATGCCGGGGGATGAAATGGCGCAGCGACGGAAAGCGAAAGGGTTGACGGAGGTTGCCACTTACCGGTGCTGGTAGCGTTGAAGGCCAACATCGGCGCGGGCGGTGGGATGCCCCTCTGACACGCTATGGGGCTGGCAGTCAAACTGACAACTCCGCCGCTCTCTTTGTACATGAAGCACAGTCTACGGCTGTTCCTGTAAGGCTGCGCCCTGTTGTTCTCGCTGCTCGACCACGCTGTTCTGCGCGCCAGCGGGGTGGCGATCACGAACTGCGTGCCCTCGGCGTCGAACCATCTACCGTGGCAGGAATAGGCTGGAAGGCAAAGAGAGAGCGCGGGGCTGCCAGAGAGGTCTTCGCGAAACACGGGAGGGTTGGTTGGAGAAAGTTTTGGAGGATAATAACGGCCGGGCGCGAGGGGGATTGGCGTCTCGACGGCCGTTACCCTTCGAGTGCCATTATTCCCCCTCCCCCCCTACCTCGAAATAAACTTCAACGGTGTCGAGGGGTCGAGAAGATATCCGCGGGACCGGGAAGCGCCAGTCTACGTAGCGGGAAAGAGAGGGTGGCGAGGGGCGGACATGCCTCGCGGTTCTTTCCAACGTTCAGGCATCTCGATCTTGATGCGGAATCGCGGCAGGGGAGCGTGCTCGAGTATCATTTCGGCCGTCGTAATGAAGTTACGACATTACCGGGATTGATAAACGGCCCGCGAGTTTTGGGGGCTCGATAAGAAGCGCCCGCGCGTTAATATCGTCGCCTTAACGCTGAAAGCCTCGAATTCGTCATACCGTCATCTCTGGATAATATTTTCGTAAGCGCGACAAGTGTTACGTCATTAGCGAGCTTTATTGCTAAACATTGACTCAATTAATATCAATGCAAATTTCCCGACGAGACATTTTGTGGTTATTTGACGGACGGTTCTCATCTCTTATCTATTCTCTCTTAACTCGCAAAATAGATTTAATATCGCCGGTAGTTTGAAACCAACGATACGTAGTTTTTTAAAACGAAATATCGTTATTCTCTCTTATTTCCTAGAGCGCAGTTTTTCTGCAATTGTTAATATTTTCTTCCTGTGTTAAAAAAGTTAAGAAAAAGCCGAATGTTTAACCACGCACGTTCTCTCTATTTTCAAGCAGTCATCGATCATATTTTCTATATCTATTTGATTGATATTAATGATAGAGATTACGAAGAAAAGTTTCGCTACAAAATAGTTTCTTCCTTGAAAAAGTCTTTCACATCTACTTTTAATTAAATAGATTACTCCGAATATTGGGTCATTACGAATCCTTTGAAACCGCCGATCTTTCCAATTAATTCGGAATCGTCGTTGGCAGTAAGATACGCAATTTTCTTAGCAAAAAATACACAATTAATCGAGGTAAAAAAATTTCAGGGACAGACGCGAAAAGACAGAAAAATCTTTCTCTTTGTAGCGAGAATTCTTGCTAGAATAAAGGTCCGTCTATCTCCAAAGTATAAGTCGCTAGTCGTTCTGGTATTAAAGGGACACTTGTTCTAAGCCGTGTCGAGTTCTACACTCGAAATGCCTCGAAAAAATAATTCCTCCTTCGTCGCTCGCGATACTGTGCTCGTATTCAAGGAGTCAGCGCGGTACAAAGTTCTCGGTATGACGGTAAAGAGGGAGAAAAGGCAGATAATTACCGGTGATAGCGTCGTCGTCAACGCAGTCACTTTGAAACTCCATCCTATCCGCCGTGGAGCAGCCCACGGTTAAGGTCGTCACCTCGGAGCTGCACCTCGAGTCGTCCTCGTTTCTCTTCTCCCTCTTCTCCGGGACGTCCTCGTCCCTCTCGCGTTCCTCGAGCTCCCTCTTCATCCTCAGGAGATCTTTGTAGGTCATACCCTTGGTGTCGGCTGGATTCACCGGCACGGATCTCTTTCGCAGCGGGCCGTCGACCTCCAGATAGTCCCCGAAATAATCGCCCTGCACCTGCAGCGTGCTGGAGGTCCAGCTGTCGTCCGGATCGGCGGCCCAAAATCGCCCGATCGCGTCGACATCGCGCGGATGAAAATCTTCTATTTTCGGGTACCTTCTCGATCTGTTCACCCTGTCTCTCGAACTCGTCTCGTCCTCGAGCGTTTCACCCTCGTCCCCGTCAACCCCGCCGCGATCCACCGCGCGTCTCGTGTCTTTCTCGAGATGCTCGGCGGCGCGTGATCTCCTCGTCTTGGCGACGCGTTGCTCGAGATCGCCCGATCGTCTGACCTTCGATCGCAAGGCGCGCTCACGTAGATCCCGGAAAGTCTCCAGCTCCGAGGTTCTCCTCGACGAGGAGATCTCCTCTAGGCTGTAGTCCTTGCGGCTCCGGTTGCCGCCGCGGTTCGAACGCGCCCGCCGACCCATCCTCTCGTGGACCAGATACTCGTTGTTAGCCCGCCTCTTCTCCACCTCATAATCCAGCTTACGACCCCGCCGGTCTTCATTCCTCTCCTGGGCGTGCCGCACCTTCTCGCCGTCGTGTCGGATGGGCAGAGACTCCTGCTGGTGCTGGCTCCTGCGGCTTTCGCGCGTATTCCGTTGGTTCCGATTAACGTCCGTCACCGTGAATTTACCCAAGTACGGACAGGTACGTGGTTCCGGTGAGCTCGCTGCGACAAAAAGCAGACGCAAACCTTACCAAGTATTCGCGAGATATCGCTAAGTATCACATACCCATCGTGATTCCCGAAAATATGCTGTCAAGTTTCACAAAATGTTCAATCGGCAAATATTCGAAATACTCTCCCTTTCTCTTATTGAAATTATTTTTCAATTTCTAATATTTTAAGGTAGTTAGGTCAAAAATGCTCAAGATTTTCTTTAAACTTGCAGCAAAACTAATTTAGATATCAATACGTATGTGTGTAAAATTTCAGTTTGATTTACCGCAGTTTCCCCGAGATATGATCACTTAAAATTAACTGTTTTTAACATTTCGCTGATCGCTGAAGTAGAAAACCTGACACTTGGACATGCATTTGTCAGTAGCAAAAAATCTATACTAAGGATTGAAACAAAAAATCGAGCAAAAGTAGTTGAATGTTTAAAGAAGTGCATGTTTAAATTTCAACGACGCTGACCGTACGGTATCAGAGTATAATAAATCTAAAGAAAAAATTTGGTTAACTTTTTCGTGCGCAGTAATGCTTTGCGGACGTGGCAACGTAAGTTATGCCATTCTCTTTGTTTTTTGGTTAAGTGTTCTTTGCGTTTTCGTTTCTGCTCTACCACTTTCTTCTTTTATAAAACACTCTTTATATCTTATCAGTTTTTAATATTCTAAGAGAAGCAATAGTGTTTAAAAATATGTGCTCGAATTTAATATAAAAGAATTCATTGTCCGTTGAACTTTATTGATCGAGTCTCATTTTGACTAGCATAGTTGGGAAAGAACTACCATAAATTGTATCGCGAACTGAGCGCGAAAATACTAATTATATGTAATAAACGTTCCTAAATTCGTACTTGGTTTTCGGAATAAACAATTGCATTAATAGCATAATATACGCGAGATGATATAATATTTATATGCGGGCAGAGGGAATTTGTGATATGACAGAACAAGAATAAATTTTGCAGTATTATTAATGACATGAAATATCACCCTTGCTTCATTTGAAACATTAATATAACGCTGTCGTATAACTCGATTTACGACTACGTTTTATATTTACGATAAAGGAGTTAATTTAATGCACGACATGTGCAAGAAATGAAAAATGGCAGCACGATGAACGTATAAAAACATATGAACATTTATCGTGTACCTCGAACGATACTTTTTGCCGGGACATTCGGAAACTGGCCACTGAAATTTTGTATGAATATGGTAAAATTATAAACGCACATTACGTACAATATTACTATTACTATTATTAATATTACGAGTGGCATATGCGTGAAAATACATAAACACTAATGAACGCAAATAGCATCGCAGATAAAAAGAGTTGCTGTAAATTAATGATCCTATCTGCGAAAGTAAAGTACCGATATGCTCGTAATTTCTACGGCCTAAGAAGAAACTTTGAAGTCGAGTCTTAAACGGAATTTTAAATGCCGTAACTTTAGAAGTTGGGACAAGAAGCTCGACGAAGGTTATCGATCCCTGCTAATGATACTTTCTTGTTAGTGAGAAAGTACGGTATATTTTAAAACCGGGGAGAGGAAAAAAGTTTTGAAAAGAGCCACGGATGTCCGAGTCTATTCAGGGAGTTCACATAATCACATTATATCTCTTATGTATCCTAAGATAGTTGAAAATGTTATATAATGGTTCCAAATTTATAGGACTTGGGTTAATCGTCTTTCCAAAGTTCTAGTTCATTTAAAGCAGTTACACAGCTTACTCGAGAAATAAACGCAAAAGTCATTCTCTGTAACACTTTCGTGTAAAATTTTACAGTGCATTTTTTAAACGTACCAATATCATGTCAATCTTGTCGTACATTTTACACTTCGGTTATTATAAATTCTAAATTTTTACATACGCGCATATATTTAACATTCTAAAATTTTCCGTTTTCACGTAGTTTTCTCTTTATACACGCGTATAACGTGTAAGCCACAATAAATACCGCCAATCATAAACAAACAACGGAAACGCATTGTGGTCTCAATGGAAGCTCATTAGATCGTAGGGGATAAAGGAGAAGAAGAATGCCAGGAGCATCTTAGAAGGCCCAAGAAAGAACGGAAGACAGCGAATGGCTATAACGAGAGGAGCGTAAATCGACTGTAGGCAGACACAATGCGAGCTTTAACGAGACAAATCTGACGACGCACCCTCGAGCCAAGGGTCCCGCTCTCCCCTGGCCCGATCAGCTTGCATTATCGTTTTATCTCGATACCGAGTCTTCAAAACTCAGTAAGCTAACAATCGAGTCCATTTTTGTATGTCTTACATGACAATATGCCGCGGGTTAATTGAAAGCACGACGCTTGCGAAAGTGGAGAAGGAAAAAGGAATGTACCGATTATCCTGCAGGGAAAATACAGCGGAAGGTTTAATTGCTATTTAACGTCGAAAGAGTTGGAAAAGTTTGGGTAAAAGGAGTCGGAAAAATTTACATTTACTTGCTCTTAATTAGAAAGCAAGATTCTGTTACAAAAGTAACAGGATCTCACTTTCTAATTAAGTCTCAAGCAGATCCGCTTTAACAACGATACTGTTTTATTTTATTTACTCGCAACTTAATTATAAAAATAGGAAAATACTTAGGGGCGGAGGGGGGGGGGGAGGGGCGGCGGCAAAGAGACGTACATATAAATGAAAGTCTCGGTTTAATTATTTACCAAGAAATCAATCGCAGTCTCATTTCTATTCTTGCTTCAAGAATAAGAATTCTACTTTTATATTACTGCTCTATTTTGCATTTTCCCGAATTTTATGAATCGATCGCAACGGTAGTTTGCGACGATATCGCAAAAATCTCGTTATTTTTACGGTTAATTAGACACGATTTTACGGCAACGTAAAAGCGACGTTCGGCCTCGGCGAAGGCGACTTGATTTTTCCGACTCGTTAGGCGATTCCCGGCACGAAGGACCTGCCTAAAAGGACGACGCTAAGGGCGAGTTATCGAGGAGAGGTTGGGAGTCCCTTTGGTCCATCTCGATTCCTTTGTGTTCGATCAGAAGGGCGAGTCGCAGATTGTACTGATCGTTATTTATGCTGCAAGGCTTTGCCGCTAGTCAGAATATCATAGATTTCTCAATAATAAAGCGCGTTTAAGTGGCGTGTACAAAGTGTTTAAAATTCACAATCTGAATTTTGGTAGTTTAATACCTTTTGTTTAACATTTTCTGACGATAATGATGAAAATTATGATATCTCGAAAACAAATAAAGGAATAATGCATGTTTCTTCATTACATAGCATTTCATATTTTGCATCAACGAGCTCGGTCTGCTTTAACGTTACTGGATGTTATCTGTGTAACATGTCGCAAATCGCTAATTAGAGGTACACATACATGTATAAGGGAACGTATCCTTCCTTACTATTTTTTGCTTAATATTTTCTGATAATAATGATGAAATTTGTGATATCTCGAAAACAAATAAAAGAATAATGCATGTTTCTTTATTATATAGTATTTCATATTTTGCATCAGCGGAGCTCGGTCTGCTTTAACGTTACTGGATGTTATCTGTGTAACATGTCGCAAATCGCAAATTAGAGGTACGCATATAAGGGAACGTATCCTTCCTTATCTCCTTATGTGCTAATCTACTCTGAGAATCGCGTAACAATGAAGTTTCATAGCGTCTGGCTGTCTCTAAGGATGTAACTGTACGGAGCGTATTTGTACCCCGCAGATGCGCTTGTATCAATTCGAAAATATGTTTTGTCGTAGTAAAATAATCTATTACAAGTGAAAGCCAGATAAATTTCCTAAGATTTCTCTTGTGCGTCAACGGCGAGGGGAATCAGGAGAAAAGAAATTCTTTTACATTGAACATCGAGATAAATTTGATATCGCGATATTTAGCTGACCGATATTTTGCTGTGTCTCAAATCACAGCTTTTCGTTGCGAGCGATATATTTATGTCCCGCGGCGCAAATACTTATTGGCAACGAGTCGCGCATTCGATAATCGATATCAACCGCAAGCACTAAATTACCCAGCGCAGCTTTCCGACTTCCGCTAGCCTGAACCGAACTAGCTATCCGATCCGCTTTCGGAATAAAGAAAATCGCAGAATAATTAATCGCGACAATTACCTACCCGCGCGCCGTCCCAATGGTGGCCATTAGGTTCCACGACCTCACTCATCTTTAACAAACATTGCTAAATCTACGCGGTATCGCGACTCGGAATCGCAACGGCAGAAATAAAATTGGGGCAGCCTGGAGCCCCGCTGATATTTGCATACCAGATCGACCTTTTATTCGCATAAAGTTATGTTTTTATGCAAAAATATTAACGATTTTGTTGTCAAATTGCTTCCTGACCTAAAAAAAAATTTTCAAACCCGCATATCGCTTTATATTTTTGCGCGACTGAAATCACTTTTTCAATGCAATTTCGATTTATAGAGAATTTATTTGAAAGAATATTTCGTCAATTCAAATACTCCATGTAATTCGAAAAAATTCGCAAACCGAACGTGCAAACCGTGGAATCATTTAGCGCCAGTGGAGTGTTTCAAGATTTTTAAGTATTCGAATCTGCAGTCGAATCCAAAGGTGGAATTTAATAACGAAACGTGGCCTCTCTCTCCCTCCTCCCCCCCTCTCGTTTGTTACCCAAAGAGAATGCAATACAACAAATCGCGTCAATCGTGTGTGCGTCGCGTCAGCCCCGTCTCCCTTTCACATTGTCTTATTATGACGCCAGTTTTGACCCGAAAAGTCCCGCGGGCAAACCGGCACCGCTTAGTCACCGCGGCATTATCCTGTCACATCCGTGTCGTTTCCTGGCGGAGAGCGTGCTTCTTGACACGGCAGTACCAAGTTTTTAATTAATCGGTCGAGTGCTGCCTCCCTCGATTTTGCTTTCTACCCGGCCCGCGCCCTCCGCCCCTGCCCACGGCGTAGACCCTTTTCAGGGAACGAAACGGCCGCCCCTAACGATCGATCTCGAGGACGAGGGAAACGGATCGGAAATTTCGCCCCGTTATCGCGTGCTTAGTTTGCCTCGTTCATGCTCCTGCGGCATTCACGGGGGTTTCGTTCGTTTTGCACCATCATGCGGCAACGAGAATGACGTAACCGCCATGGGGATGTTCCGCGATCGTAATCTAAATACGTCTCGCGCATTGATTCTTAATTAGCGAATATCGTTGCCATCCTTTTTTCTCCCCCGCTAACGACGAAAATCCTGTGCAAAGATACGTTCGCGCTCCCGTTGCCTCGACCTGTTCGAAGCACGGGCTCTCCTCTCGGCCGCGGCTACGCACCCTCGGAAAGGATTTCTGTTACCGGGACAGACAATAGTCTTGACGCATTTATATTTCTCACAACCTCATTTAGTAAAAAAATAAGACGATATCAAAATAAAATCAATAATTCTTATTCTCCTCTATCGAATTAAAACGGACTGACATATTCTTGCGGCTAGAATAAATCTTCCCTCCATCTTACAACGCACGAAGTTGGCACCGCGATAATCGACAGAACACGATTCTAGGTTTTAGAACTTTTAGATTAAAATGTTCCTCTCTCTATAATAAATGATTATATAAATATGATTGGCGCTATATCGATCCTATTTTATGATACATCGAAGTGTAATAGCATTGGATCCGGAAATTTTGTCTGTGGGCTCCGTATCGAAGCGACTGAAGTTTCACTTCTTATCGAGGAACGAACGTTTGTTAAAAAGTGAGTGAAATCTCATATCTCATTATACATGCACGTTCGGGAAGAGTCGAGCCGCGCGCGTATCCTGTGCTTATCGTCGCCGGAAGTTAAATCGAATGTATCGACCAGGGGAGAAGTTTGTAAATAAGAGTACGACCGCGCTTGTCTTCCGCGCGTTTTTCTCCACGGCGCAAGATAGATACGCCGATACGTCACGTACTTTTAGCTGACGATTTACATTCGCGAGTTTCGCGATACTTTTATCTCGAGCGGGCGGGAGGTGGGGGCTAAAGAGAAAGGCGATAAAAGTGGGCGCCAATTATTCTTCGAACGAAGAGCGAGATCGGCGCGGCGCTCTCTTTGTTTCGTTCGCCCGGAAATGACGCCTCGATTCTCGCCAGAGCGATAAATTTCCAGCGGAAATAACTTTTGGCAGGGTGGATGGCGGCGAAGGGAGTACACGGTAAAGGAGGACAGGAAGGGGGCGGAAGGGTAAGCGAGACCCTTCTCGAAACAACCGTGCGCGTTCGTCTTCGCTGGGGGGGAGGGGGGGGGGAGAAAAAAAGAGGTAGATCGGAAGATTCGAGGGATCCGTTTGCGTCATTCGATAAATTACGGCTGTATTTGTAAAATAAATCATCCTCGATCGGGACGGGTTCGTTCGAGAACATTTCGTCTTCGCGGCGAAGCGTCGTCGCGCCGAAATACGTTAAGCGGATTATCATCATCTCGCGCGGAGAAATAACAACTGATATTCAACGTGCGGCGAAGTAAATTCTATATTCGGCATAAAGAAACGGGGGCAACTTTCGCGATGTAATTTTAACCAGTCCTGTCTCGAGAATTTCAACGATGGACAAACGTTTGCGGAAGGGAAATCTGGGGATTTTTCAATATGGAGGGGGGGGGGGCGGAGACTCCACGCGAGCGCCGTTTCGCGTCGGAAAAAAGATTCGACGAGCCTTCGACATTCGCGGAGCATTACCTCGCATCATTTATTATTATCCACATTATGAATTTTCTATCATTTTGCTGCGCTCGAGAATTGATTTTGCTAATGACCGGGGCATTAAACGCGAAAATCGAAAATACAATGGCCGCATGTAGGACTGAACTTGATTAATTAACCAATCGTATTCAACGCTCTCGATTTAGCTCGTTCACTTAAATTATCGTACACTGATTCATTATTCCGTTTATTATCGCTTGCACTTTCCACCGAGCGAAGGAGGGCGGCGCGGGTGGGGGAGGGGAGGGGGGGGGGGGAGAAAGAGAGAGATTCCATCGAGATTCTCGCAATAGAGCGGAAATCTCGTGCAGCTATGCAGAAAAATGGTCCGTCAATTCCGCGCAGCGTATCGCAGCGTGCGACGCTATTCTACAAATAAACGCCGCGCAGCAGTTCGGAAATATTCTCCGTCGCCGTCACTGGCGTTTTATCGGAGCGAAACGCACGTATCTCCGTGAGTAAACACGGATGACAACTGGTGTAATTAAACCTGAGTGCGCGGCAGAACGTCGATCGTTACCGGCTTGATTATTATTGGCCGGGCAACATTTCAACCTGATTCCGTCGAACGTAGCCGCCGACATAATTTTGTGTCGCGAATATTAAACCGTTAGGTATAACCCGGTGTGCGGTCGCCTCGTCCTCGTGAAATATCCCGCAAAATTCATCGAACTAATCGAAATACCTGCGTGACCGTGTACCTCGTTAGAAACTGGAATAAACAGAAGGCTGCGGCGAGCCAAAGGGGGACAAACGTTACGAGTTAATAACAAAACTTGCCGTTGACGATTAACATGCGTTCCGGCAAACGTGGGAGGACAGAGGCACGGAGGAAAGTTTTTATTTTCCTCCCCTTTGCTTCCCTCTACTGGCGATTTTTTTTCTCTTTAATGTCAAAACTAAGAGTAAACCAATTGCAGGTCGGACAAGATTGGAAACATGCGGCGATAGTCCCGAATTTCTCATCGCGAAGTCCTTTTCCGTGACGTTTTAGAAAATTTACCGTGGCAACTCGCCAACAAAATCGGAAAATTGCCTAAAAGTTGTTTCCAGAGCCGCTCCCACTTGAGATTCAACAATTTTCAGACTGAATTAGGCATCAACGTTATTGGATGTAAGAGCATTATAAATGCTACGAGTTGATGAAAAGGGGCATACCGTTTTTCATTAATCTCGCTTTTATTAAATTTACCCGAGTGTGCGGAAATGAGCGCGCGCGAGCGCGCCCCTTTTGGAAGATAAAATTACTTGCATAATACGTTGCGTATTTCTCGAACGCGGCGCAATAATAAGCCAACTTGGCCAATTCATGTTTTTCACGAAGTGATTTTATTAATTGCGCCGAGTGAGTGTTCTTTCATTAATTAATACAGCCCAATTTAATATTATGATTTAAAATTTCCCGTTCCATCGGATTTCGCCGCACGCCGCAACGGTTGTCAATTCGTCATTTATTATTCCAGCTACATTGTATCGATTCGACTTAATTAATTTGGCTGCGAAACAACCACTCGTTGCACGCAACGCAAAGTAGATATCAATTAGTAGACTGGCATAGTCCAATCAGGAAGACACTCAAATGAAAACGATGTTTCCTTTTTGTTGCATCGCCTGGTTCTTTTTCACCCTCTTTTCCTCACTCACTCTCTCTCTCTCTTTCTCATCCAGAAGATAAACGCGCGCGGCTTCTTTCGTTTAATCTGGATGTACTTGTACTACGATTTAAAATGATCAAAGTACCGCTGTAAGAAACAACGTTGCCTCGTAATAAAAGTTTCATGAAGCCGAACGAACCGGAGAAAATCTGAAGTGCCGGCCGGGGGAAAAACAAGGAAGCGAAGGAAACAGAACGGACATAATAGAGAAATAAAGAGAACCGTCCGGCGAGGATCGGCGCTCTGTATTATAAAACACTAGGATGGTGTACCGGCGATACGCGGCGGAATTACAAAACAGCCGCAAAGAATCGAGGAGATAAAAGAAGGGTAAGGCCCATTTTGAGTCCCGAACGACACGCGCCGGATTTATCACCCGAGATTTTACCAAACGACCGCCGTCTTTCCCCGCCCTTTCTCTCTCCTTCGAGTTAATTATCGTCATTCCGCGGCAGTTTCTGAATTAGCTTCCGATTATTCCGGCTGCTCCTCACTAATTGTAAGCGCAACTTCGCCAGCGAACCGAGAAGAATCGTTCTCGAGCGGAACAGTCGCGCTAGATCATGAACTTACCGAAACTTTCGGTGAAGAAGGAGTGTATCGGAGAACTCGGAGAGTGCGGCAAGTTGCGGTTATAGTTTCGAGCGGAACGGGGTTCATTAAAACTGGACAAAGAGATGGAGAGGAAAGTAAACACGGGATTCGTGCAATCCATTAATCTGTGACAAGTTCAAGATTCGCAATGCGTTATCCTAAAATATGTGCATATACATCTCAGATAATTTTATGCATTGTAGGAAAAGTTTAGACCGATTTTATTTATCACAATAGGTATAGCTCATTTAGGTCCGGTTTTTCATTCTATGGTTAAATGTTAATCAGAGGTTTCAAGTGTAATATAAATTTTTTTGAAATATTATCACATCCCCCCCCCTCTCTCTCTCTCTCTCTCTAATTGTGATATTATTCTTTTGATCGGTGTCTTCAGCTAAAGGTTCGGCCATCGCCATAAAAAATAATCAATAAATGCCACGTGATAATATTCCAAAAAAATCCTAAAGGGGAGGATCGCAAAGGGGAGATTCCACGACTCGCACCGTTAACTCGCAGCCGAGTGAAGTTCACCAAGGAGAGGAAGCCCGGGGAGGGTAGGACGTTGGCGAAGGAAGAGACTAGCGGGAGTCAGGTGACCCGTGTCAAGTTCAAAGACGCGAATGCTAACCCCGCCACCGACGTTTATTCCGCGTTCGTGAAAGGCCGCTGTACCTCCGGGAAGAGAGGCTTGCCGTGGAACGAGGTCCCCCTGATCGAACTACCGTGAAAACGCCCAGGCTCCTCCGACGCAGAAATTATTTCTTCGCGACTTTAATCCCGGTTTCCGGCTGTTAGACGCGATGACCTTAACGCGTCCGTTCTTACGCTTTTTGAGATCTTTCCAACGAAAGAGAGAGAGGGGGGAAGGCATTTTTATCTGTTTCTCTCTTTTGGGAAGAGGGCACGCGTTTCTATTTCCTCCCGTAGCGCGGAGGATCGACCAAGAGGACGAATCGAAACGTTCCCCGGCCGCTCATACATATCTGTCCGCATTTGACGGCCGTCGATGTCGGCGCTTTTCCATAATCGCGTTTTCCATTATCCACTCGGTGCCGGGATACCTTTTTACGGCTGGCACCTCGGAACCCGCGCCAGCACGAAACGCGCCCGCCGACTTCTGCATTAACGAATGCATTAAGGATTATCGGCACGACACAATAATCGCGTTAGCCCGTCTGTATTTATACGCGGCGGCGTGTTCGTTGCATCGCATCGCGGGCGTGCGTATATTTTCGCAGATTTGATTTTCTACTTCTATAACGGGCAATACCCAGCGGGAGCGGCGGCGGAACGGTGGAGTTTAATGAGATTAAGCGTGAAAAACGAGCGTCCATTGTATAATGCATATCGCGGCGGTATTCACCGGCGCTCTCTCTCTCTCCCCTTCTCTCTCTTTCTCTCTCTTTCTCTCTCCTTTCGTTTCCTCAATTCGCAATTTAATATCTCACGAAAGTGAGAGACGACTGTCACCCTCCTCCTCCTCCTCCTCCTCCTCCTCCTCCTCCTCCTTTCCTCCCCGCCGTCTTTTTTCGCTACTCGATCCTTTTTTTCTGCGCGAAAAGCAAACCGACGCCCCCCCCCGGGAGACGTCTCCCGGCGCACGAGCTCCTTTTCTCACGACCGCCTCTCAATGTCGACAATGTCGCGACTGAGAACTTTTCTGATGAACTCACGTGTCGTCATCTCGCCTGGAACGCGGTGAGTGAATAGCTTGCACGCTGTACGCGAAATTTCTATCCTAAAATTATCATTAGCTCGACATCGGCATTGTCGGGCCCCGCCGCTAATAAAGCCAATTTGAATTTCAACTTTACATAATGCAAACTATTACCCGCATTGCCAGCTTAATTGTTATTGCTGTCCCAATTATTTATTTAAAAAGGTGAACTCGCGACTGACTAAAAATTACGACCGAATCGATTCGGGCGTCTTGCCATAATTTAGATGATAATACTTTTGATTAATCGAAAGAAGAAATAACAGCGACACGCTGCGATTTGAATAATAAAATAATAAGTGATTTTGTTAAACACGAAAAAACTAAATTCTAGAACGAGCGCACGGCTGGTAGAAAATCTGTTTCAAAACGAAAGCCCGTGTTCTTTGCGGATAACAAATCTGTTCGTTTCGCATAACTTTGCCGCGGTTACGGCGTTAGCGGGTCGCTCAAACTTCGTATAGAGAAACAATGGGCTCTGAAACAACTGCGATACGAGCTCGCCCGCCTCCGAAAAAAAAATATATATATATATATGAAAAAAAAGGACGAAACAAAAAAGGAAAACGGATGTCGCCGTGTCGACGAAAGTCAGAACGACAAATAATTCGTCGGAACGATCAAGCGCGGCGCCCGATAGAAATTCAATTCCCCAAGGGCGGCAACGCGTAAAAATGGCGCGTCCAACGAGATGGAATTTTTGGCACGCGTTTTTTTTCATACTTCATTGTGCCCAGTGCCCCTTCTCTCTTTTTCCGGCTCCTCTTTGTCCGACTTCGCAGCGCGTTTTCTCCCAGGCCCGGTTAGATCGGTTCGTTATGCGGCTACAGAGTTTTCCGTCCCCATTGAGTTTTCAGCCTAGGGACCGGTGTCCTTCCGGCAGCACGAAAAAAAAACGCGTCGCGGGCAAATTAATTCGCGTGTTTGCGTCCTCGAGGATCGGCTCCGAAGGCCCGCGGCCTTTGTTTCAATAATTCTATCAATTTTTCTCTTTTCGGCAATCTCCCGTCGCTCCGTTCGCTACGGCATTTTCATATTTGACTCAATTATTTTATGTCGCCCGACGCACGCTGCAGTCCCGCTATTAAATTTCGATTGGGATTTGCTTAATAGTTTTATCGTCCTCCTCCTCGTATTTCCAGCTTCGTCTCCTTCTCGCTCATTTACCTTTTACGCTCCCCTTTACGTCCGACGAATACGGCAAAAATTACACAATTTTTGCTCCGCAGTTTCGCGATTGAGAACGAAGATGGATGCTCGCTGATAAATTTACCTCTGACCGATATTTTTGTGAAGAATGTTACCGAGGCGTAACAAAGAAGGATGACTTTTTGCGAAACAATGGATAATTTCATTAAGAGCTCATCTATAAAAATTTTCGTCAATTTTTCCAGCGGCACGATAATAAACTTACTTAGCGGGGCAAGAAATTATTGTGCTTCCTGCTACAGATGAAATTGTTTATTCTTCCATTCTTCGTAATTATCACGCGAGAAATTTTCCACCTTAATTACATCGATAATCTAAAATGAGATAACAATCATCGACAAGCTTCCCTTCCTTAAGTAATAACCTTAATAATTTTCAAGTACACGTAGCTTTTT